TAAGAAAGCCAGGGAAACCAATGCTTTACAGAATTTTCTCGATCCTTCTATGAATACGATCTCACAAGACAATCTTGTCTACTGTTCAAAACCGTCATGCTGACGTAATGTGCAAATTAGTAACTGCTATGGATGAGTAAAAACAAAGGAAAGAAATCTATTCTGTCGAAGAATAGCCAAAACGAAGTACAACTTCCAATTGCCTCAGGGTGAGGGTATGCATCGAGTTGACGTCCAAGTCTGTTAAAAGGGCGGATAATCGGTCTAAGATAAGACTTCACCTCCCCATACCCGATAAATTCATGTTCTTGTCAGAACTAAAGGCTTTGGTTGGGAGCCCTAATCGTTCTCCTGATCAGTGGTTTGAAAACCTGGAAGTACCCGTACATCAAGCTTCAATAAAAACTCAAACTAATTCCAGAGGAAGCAGTACCGCATTGCTTAATTGCTCAATAGTGATAAGTAGACTATGGTTAAGATACTCTGACCTCTGGTTCACTGTACGTATTCACCTCCAACTCTGCCTCTCTTCTTATCCCACCTTACAGTTGGTTGCATTTTTTTAAACAATGTGTTTGTCTCGACGGACAGTAACATGGCATTCTGGTCACTCGAGTCAGTTGACAAATTCACAAAAAAAGCCGTCAGCTAACGGTGTACTTTAAGTTCAGCTCAACAGTCAGTGACAAAATTCATAGCCTCAATTCTCCCATTGTCTGCGCAACTCAGCTGTTTGCGTCCGTCATGGTGGAAAGCTAGGAGCACTGCAAATTGATGGGGTAGATGAACAGTTAAATAAAATTAAATGTGCGTCAGTAATAGTAAAGGAGGTAACCGCAAGACTTTCCACTTCGTGAGTGTGGTATGCAGAACTTAAATACCATGACCATTGATGTGAATTTTCCATGCCACTGTCTAATTCTAACTTACTGTTATAAGATCGTGAGATTTTACGAGGAAGATATTCATAAACTGGAGGTCTTCGAGTGCCTACGTTCACGTTGTTTGGTGAAAGTAGGATAGAGCAAACGGATTAGCTACACCAAGGTAAGCCGCCGTGTATCTGGGAATGAAGCGGTGAAAAATTTCTCACCATATCGAATTCACATCAAGAGACTTCATTGGTTAGGACACGAATTGCGCAAGCCTAGTTGTGGTCCACCCCCCATCCCCCCCCCCCCCGACCGCAGTTATTGCTTCGGGATGGAGAAAATCACATGGAAACGAACCACGAAGAAATGCATTGAAATTTTGCGTGGAGTAAATGTCTCTGGTCTTCCAGACTGGGGTGCAAAAGATTCCGCAACTGGTCCCCTAGAAACACTGAGGAATATGCCTTTACTGTCAGTCTTTATCAGACCAGAATGCCTGAAGAAGCGTGTACACAAAACCAGAGTGTGTACTTTTTGTGTTGACCATTTCACTCGCTTTCTTATTCCTTCTCTCAAAACAAGTCTACCTTCATTCACCCTACACATTCGTGCATATTTTGTGTATGCTGTGCGCTTGGAAGCGATCGACGAATTTTGATTTATTGTATTTAGAAGTCTGTTGTTGACCTCCAAATGGAGCAAGAATTGTAACGTGATAACAGAACTGCTAGACAAAAGCAGGGTAAATCCCACGTAGAACCGGGGTTAAGTTTGTTTAAACATTGGTCCCGCATATACGCAACTCATTTTTGATTGCTGTCTTTGTGCTGTTCATTCGGTTGGTCAATGAACAAAGGAGTGAAATGGAACGAAAGAAGGAGATTGATACCACAATAAAGATAGATGTTGGGACAAACTAGGTGTAGAAAGATTGAATATCCATATGAACATCACCGTTTGACACAGTCACAGAACATGATGTGCCTAATCAGTGAGCAATGACACATTCGCATAACGAAACGCTATTTGAAAAAGACCGATAAATGCTCTGGATTCTGTGATGTTCAAAAATCGAATACATCGGTTTCAAGTGGTGATTCACGCATTCACTCAGCAAAGGGAACAACGGTTCAACTACCCTGTGAATTATTTACCTACGGGTGGAACAAAGCAAATACTCGATTTGAATGGAATTTCCCTAGTTCTACTACAAAAAGCGGCATATTATATTGCAAAAAAAACGCCCAAAGTCTAAAAATTTTAAGTGACTTCACAGACACTGAAGATGTCTCCTCGGCTGGTGCCAAGCTTGGGGGGAAAAGCGAAAATGAATTCAATTCACCGGAGAAACGAGAACCGATTTTCAATAACGTGTCAGCAAGTGTGTATGTCGAGTAAAAAGCGTGAAACCAACGGAATTTGAAAATACATTACCTTCCGGAGCGTATTGATTTCCAGGATGATTTCCTCTTCGTCTTCTTGCGTGATCGGCATCACTTTGATGGCAGCCAACTGGCTAGTGCGGACGTGACGACCTTTGTACACATTTCCATACGTCCCTTTACCAACCACTTCGATCAGAGAAAATATTCCCGAAGGATCGCTCAAGTTATCCAAGTTGGTTATTTCCAGCGAATTGTTCGCCATCTCGGAGTCGAAGCAGCTCGAGGTCAATGCTTGTGACAGTGACTCAGCAATCGGACGGTATCGGGCAATATTATATTCCTCTGAATGATACACAAACGGGGCACATATAGGCAAAATAAATCGAGATTATATTGAAAGTAGAGGTGTTCACATAGAAAACGATAACCGGAATACACAAACTTTCGTGGAAGTTATCTTAACAAACCAGAGTTCCTATGGTCTATTTTGGTGGTTAACAGATGCACTGTCGTCTGGTTCGCTATAACGATTTTTCCTGACTTGACTAAACTTATTGAAGTCTTGTAATTGTCTGGCACTGAGGTTTGCCTGTACATAACTTTTCGTAGATATAGGTATATGTATAGCCTCATCATTCAGACACTAGTTGTCGTAGTACACATAAGTGTGTGGTTTTCCACTCAAAGTCCATTGTTCCTGAGCACACGCCTAACGATGAGGCTCCATAATCGAACAACGTACTC